TATTTATTATTTCTTATTTAATTTTTATTTTTTAATGTTAATATTTTTTTTTACTGTTGGGGGCCTCGGAGAAATATTAGGGGTCTAAACAGCTCCCTGATAGTTCCCTTTTAAAATAGAAAAATAGATTGAGGACACAAAGTCCTCAATCTCTTTTTCTGCAGCCTCTGTTCTAAATGAATGGAAAGCACAGAGGCTTCCCATTCATTCAGAAAATATTTACTATCACCAGTTTCTGAATGGGGAAGAGCCTCTGTACAGAATAATTCTCCCCATTGAGAAACTCATGAATGAACAGGAAGTGATGGAAATCACATCGTGTTCATTCATAACTGGGGACACATAATACTATGTGTCCCCAGTTATTTACAAACACTGGAGTGATCAGCTGATCGCTCCAAAGTTTGTCCTGCACAGAGGATTGGTACATATCATTGATATGTACCGATCCTCTGCTGCTCGGACACGCACAGAGGGGGGCTGCAACTTCTCCTCTGGATCCCCCCCTGCTCTCCTGGGTAGAGGCAGCGGGAGATCCGAGGAGAAGTGAAAGAAGCACTTCAGCCGCCGGGGGGCCAGCGTGCTGCTGTGATAGCGGCTCGGTCCCCCGCCGCCGACTGCAGCTTCACTTTTCCTCGGATCCCCGCTGCATAAAGATGGGGGAGAGCAGCGGGGATCCAGAGAAGACAGGACATCGCCATCTACCAGTGATCGACTGGTAGATCGCAATCGACCTTATGGGCACCCCTGGCTTAGACTAATGATTGGGAACCAACTAAAATGGTTCCCGATTATGTGACCTGTTATCTGATCTGTATGTTTTTCCAGACCTGGCCGGAGCCGGGGGTAACCAGATGTAAACAGACACACGTTCATTTAGATCTGGCTGCCCACAGACTGACATCGTGCTTCCGATCAGATCCGTCTGAAAAAGTGACAGGCGGATCTGATCGGAATGTCATGTGAAAGGGGCCTTATGCACACAAAAACAAGTACAATTAAAAAATATAATTTAAGAAGTTAAAATGTTTGACAATGTAAAACATTGTAAAAAAAACAATGTAAAATATATTTAGGTGGAATAATAAGCCTTAGGATTATTTTAAAGTTATCCAATGCATATTGCAGCTGCTGAATTTGAAGTGAGAATCTAGGCATCAATGACCTCTGGTCATGAAGAAGTTAGGCTTCACTGATATTGAAATTGAATACTGAAACCATATCAGGACCAGATAACATAATTAAAAACTCAAATAAATAAAACCAGTAGTATTCTAAAATGGTGTAGTTTGTTTGACAGTATTTGCCCCACCTCTCTGTTTTTGTCTGGTCTAGCTGAAAACATAAATATAGCTTTTTGACTGGGCAGCATTGATATTAATAAATGAATCACTCACCACTTCTTACCCATGCATAGTTTATCATTTAACGACCATGATTCCTGCTGCAAAACAGCCCCCGTGAACACCTACACTTTTATTTACTTTCTGGAGAGTGCCAGAAAGGGGTTGAGAATTTCAAAGTTCTTACATTTGTTTCATGGAAGAAGCACAAAGGAGTGGTAGACCGAAAGCCAGTTCTAGACTTTGAGGCTGGGTTCACACCTAGGCGTATCGAATATGCGCGTCTGTCGCGTGTTTTTACCGTGATTCGTGGTAAAAAAAACGCGCGACAAACACGCGTTTCCGAGGGCTACCTGGCTGTATCCCAATGGATACGCGTTCCTACGCGCTGTAAAACTCCCAGGTGGGAACAATGCCCATAGGCAATCATTGGTTTTCACATGTTGAGCCTTTTACAGAGCGTAGGGACGCTCTGTAAAACGCCCAGGTGTGAACCAGGCCTGAGTCCTCTTTAATATATTCTTAGGCCTGGTTCACACCTGGGCGTTTTACAGCGTGTTCCTACGCTCTGTAAAACGCTCAACATGTGAAAACCAATGATTGGCTATGGGCACGGTTCCCACCTGGGCGTTTTAAAGCGAGTAGGAAGGCGCTGCAAAACGCCATACGCCCAAAGAAGTACAGGAGCTTCTTTGGGGCGTATTTGCCGCGCGTATCCATTGGGATACAGCCAGGTAGTCCTCGGAAACTCGTGTTTGTTTCGCGACAAACACGCATATTCGATTAGCCTAGGTGTGAACGCAGCCTTATAGTGAACTATGTGGACCTGTTGCTCATTTGTAATGCAACAAGCATGATAGCAAAAGCCTAGGAGTAGCAAATAAGCAGGTTACATTTTAACGTGCACCTATGCTCAGTTTATTGACATTAACGTCTAGAAAAGCAGTAAAAGAGCTTAAACACAAACATTCACTGCAGGTGAAAACTCAAAGGACAGGAGCGCAACTACCAGGAGTGACGTGAATAACAAACATTCACTGACCTCTCTAGTTTCATGCACTTTAATGTTCTTTTTCTAGGCACAGGTTAGCTTCAAAAGTAGAATCACATTTTTTTTGTTCTCCAAAAGAAATCTCTTTAGCGAGGATGCAACAGCAATAAAAGCAGTTCTTACCTCGTTTATAAAAACGTTTTGAATACATCCACAACAACTCTTTTGGGAAGCATATTATAGGTAACAAACTACTTTCTGTGACAGCTAAAAGTAACACATTATGATTAGTTGAACTACACATCAGTTATGCAGAGCTTCTTTTAATTTTAATACGTTTTGCCCTGACCTTCAATTCCTCTCCAATGAATTTTCTTTCCAGCAAGATATCGGCAAATGCTTTATGTGCCAGAATGCGTTTTGTTGTGCTCTGGATCAGTAGTTGCAGTGCACTGGAGATATTGCTCACACTAGTCACAAAGAGAGAGGCGTTTTCTAAGCGGTAGTAACAAACTGCATCAACCTCTAAAGTAACCAGATCCTTGGTCACAATCTATACAAAAATTAAAAAAATGTAAGAATAGGTAAGATAACAGAAGCTAAAAAGATGCAAAGTGTTTAGTCAGATAAAATGGGATCATACAGTAAATAGATATTGGTAGAGTTCAGAATTTGTGGGAGTCAAAGGCTAATCAAAGCAGAAGTATTGGGAGAGTAAACATTGACTATTGTCGAGTAGGTGTTTCTCTATTGTATCATCTGTTTCTACATAAAACAGGGACTATACTGATTAAAGAAGAACTCTGGGGGACATTATTATTAACCCCACTGCAAGTGTTAACTGCTTGTTTCTGACTAGGGAGGACAATAAAAAATGTATACCACATCATACAAGCTGGCTTGCTCTTAAGCTGGCCATACACTTATAGATTATCTGCAGAATTTCTATGGTCAGATGGAAAAAGTGCAACAGACTCCTCCATCTATGCTAAACTGTGTGAATGGAGGAACCTCCCGCTGGGCCAAGCTTTAGTATCTTGCTAGTTGGCCACACTGGCTCTCAAAATACCTGAACAATGCCTGCATCCAATCAGATTGTTCAGGTATTTTGACAACCAGCGGGGCAGATACTGAAGCTTGGCGCAGTGGGAGATTCCTCCATCCACACAGTTTAGCGTAGATGAAGGACTCTGACCATAGATAATCTATAGGTGTAGGCCAGCTTTAGACGGATCCCTGGAGGCTCTCTCACCTACGCTGCAGTGGTCTAAGGTCCCGTAAATCATAACATTCTATACACTGTGTATAGGACATTAGGACCTCGAGGGACATTCCATCGCTGCAACGGAGGAGGAGGTTGAGGGAGCACTTTCACAGCCAGCCGGCTCAGAGAATCAAGTGAGTATAACTTTGTTATTTTACTCTCTCGACCAAAACGAGCAGTTAACCCATGCAAGGGTTAATAATGTATGATGCTGCAAGGGTTAATAATACTTTTCCCCGGAGTTCTGCTTTTAAGCTAAGAATAAGATTTTTCCTGCCGGTCTCCGACAGAATACCCAGCCAATTAGCTGCAGTCACCTGACTCCTTTGACAAAAGAAGGGCCACCACCAGATGACATTTTAAAATCTGAAATAGTTACGGAAAAAGTTCTGAAATTTGATCTGCGTATGGTCAGCTTAGGTCCCATGCACATGGCAATACACGGAAAATACATGAGTCTGTTCTCGGAGCTCCTTTCTAAAGGCATCTGGAAGCATGTAATGCTTTGCTTTGGCTAAATGCACACCCAGATGTGTAGCAGTGTCTAGGTGCATTCAGTCTAGCTTTAAACAAACAAGAATCTTCTGCATCCTGGGACAGTTTAGCCAACTAAACATAACTGAACCTATCAACAACAACACACAGGAAAAAGTCATCTTGGAATCATAAAAGTTGTTTATACTTCTCAGATAACTTCTCCTGTGTTTAACGTAGGTGGTCCATGTGTATGAGACCTCAAGCTGATTTAGGGAAAAAGTAAGTGAAATGCTTAATTATCAGTTGGAGCTGCTGACCTAGTTTTTGCAGATCGCACTGGACCGGAATGCAGGCACTAATGTGCCTGCTTCCAGGTACAGGCAATCGCACTATATCCATAGCAATGCTGTACTTGCACGAGCATGGGGGTAAGTTTCCGAATATGAGCTATAAGCTATAGCTCCTGGGTGCTACAAATACAGGCGTATTTAATGCTGTATGAAAATACACTTGTATTTGCTCTGCAATATGCCCATGTGCATGAGCGCTAATGCAATACATTTGCATACTTTCCCATTTTATTTTCATTTGACACATTAATATTTTACTATTACTCTATGATTTCACAACTACATCATGTTAACTTTGTCTCTGAAATGCTAATACCTGGTGAAAAGGAACTTCTAAGGTCTTTATGCGGAAGTCCACTTTGTGACACTTATCCAAACACGGGAGGTAAAAAAACAGCCCTGTGAACAATTATAATGATGAAATGAAAGCTTCTTCATATACTAAACACAAAGCATCATGTTATGTAAGACAGCTTTTTTTCTGTAATTTGCTACCGGTGACAGGGAATAGGTCATTTTGTAAATGATATAGTACACACAACAAAATAATGTTTACCTGTAGATAAAATGCACATTTGAATACTGAAATAAACAAGTACATTTTTTAAAGAGACCCTGTCACCAACTTAAAAAAATGCAAGTAAAAGCACAGACAAATCAAAATATCGTACATGCTTACTTGCAGCATTTTCCTCTCCATAAGCAATTTCTGATTTACTTGCGTTGTGCCTCTGAACCCGACAGCAAATTCAGCAAAGAATCAATACCCTTATCACTGCCCCCTCCCTCCTTGCATGTCATAGTCCTCTTCTCTTTTGGGAGTGTCTAATTATTCTCTGTGCTGGACCAGCTCCTCCACCCCTCGCCTCCTTACATAACCTTTAATGTAACTGCCAGGGGAGGAAGAACATTTCCTTTGAGTTACATGTTGGAATCTGCTCGGGCTGCTGACATGATGAGATGCTTTTACAGGTCAATACCATGCATATAATACATTAAATGCACATATGATCCTATGGAAAGATTGTTGTTGAAATGAATGGTCTGGTGACAGGGTATCTTTAAGACTACATATGGAAAATACATGAGAATTATAAGGCAAGGTTGTATCTACTTTAGATATAAAACTGACTGCTTGCAAAACTACTGCTTAGTGATATCTGATGATTTGGGACCAATCCCTTGCAAAACAACACAGGGTGATAATCAGGATGTCTAAAACTATGCTAATGGCAGCCCAGAAATGTCTGCACAATCTGGATGCCAAACAAGCAATCCCACAATCATTATTCAAGCATGCAAATTCACATCAGGTGAACCTGCCTGTTTTGTGCCTGCAGAGAACGTCTTGTTGGAGGCAGTAAAAGGTGCCCATACACCTTACAACCATCGCAAGACTTTTTTTTTGCGATGGTTGTAAGCTAATTAAAAGCTCGTACGATCTGCCCACCTTGGACAGGCAGATCGTACTTGCGATAATCGAAAGCCCGCCCCACTGAGGGGCGGGCTTCCGATGACTGCAATGCTGAACGCGCAGTGTGCCCTTCTCGTACGATTCTCGGCGGGTTTTGAAACATCCTCGTTAGACAAAAGACGTGCGACCGTACAGTATCGCACGATCGCGGGATTTCCCGCAATTATCGTACGATAATCGCAAGGTGTGTGGGCACGTTAACATTCACCCAGGAAAAGTCTACAAATCTTTGCATAAGTAGGCCCACCCAAATTAAAGAATGATTTTTGATAGAAGTCTAAGGGCTTGTTCACACGTCGTCCTGATTCTGTCCAGACCAGATCACCAGATCACCCAAAATCGATCCCAAGTATTCCTATGTGTTTTATGGGCTACAGTTCTCACGAGAGCAGTCTGTTCCGGTCCGGACACAAAAAATACTGCATGTCACATCTTGTCCAGTCCGGAAACAGTCTGGAAATGCACAGCAGCTAACATACTGACAGCCCAACTCCAACCAACTGGAACACATAAAAAACACGTAAAAAACGCACTGCCTGCATAGCACTGCGTCTCCAGATCTGGACCAGAAAATCGTGTGAACAAGCCCTAAAGAATGATTTGATATAGGTGCCTGAAGATGTTCTTTAATTTAAAAATGCAGCTATGTGCCCTGCTGGGAGAAATCACCTTACTAAGTTGTTAGTATAATGTTAGTGATGATGAAGGGAAATATTATTACCTGGTCCTCTAGCTCGCCCAGGCAACAATCGCCCTAGTCGAAATATAATAGCTCGCTCATACTCCCGTACGATCTGCAATGGAAAATTATTGTTGAATGTTTAAAACCACATTGATTCAATGATTTCTGTACATAACTGCATTGTCAGAATACAGATGAAGATAAAAACGAAATATTTGATCAGTTCTGTTATGAAACAACCTGGAGCCGAGCTTCCTTTATAACATCAGCATTAATAACAAGCAAGAACTAAGTCTTAAAATGTAAGATTTCTCATAAAATGCAATGTAAAGCTGAGTATACACGGAGTAAAAATTCAGCTCATTCAGCAGGAATTGGCTGAATTTTCGATCCATGGGTGGCCTCATCACCTCAACAGAAGTCATCCATTAGCACCTGCGCGGCTGTCAGAATACAATGAACACAGTGGGAGATTTGAACATCCATGCTCTTAGCATGGATGGAGAAACCTGTCAAATTTTTTTTTGTTCAGCCTGTGAGGCAAACAAAACAAAACAAAAAAAATATGAGACGTTGTCTATTATTATCGTTATATTGGTATGTTCTGCAAAAGTAAAATAGGGATGTAGCAGTCTGAATTCTATTTAATTGGAATAACCGTTGATTTACCACTTGACCTCCTGGATCAGATAGAAAAACATTCATGTTCTTCAGTATTACAAAACCTGTCATCCCAGTATCACATACAGGTTTACATTAAAGTGCATCTAACCCCGCACAAAAAAATCATATAATGCAGTTTACCAATCCTAGATGTGGGGGCTGCCTTAGTTGTCTTTTTTTCATTTATTTTCACCTAGTAACCCTGTGATTGTCATGTGATTGCCTTTGTTGATTTCCATTACATGCTGGAGTGATTGGATTGGTAATTTACACAAGAAATATAAGGATGTTTATGCTTTCCTTACAGCTCACAGGAAGTGCTAAGGACACTGCATTTCTTTGTGACATGCATGTTCTTAGCTTGAAAAAAGAAAACAAATGCAGCCACCTCACTGAGGACTAGTAAGCTGCAATGTGTTACATTTTTGTTTTATTAAAATTTTGTTTTTGGGTTTAGATATGCTTCAAACATTCAGTTCCTAAAATTGAAATTTCAGTGTTAGTCGGAGATGAACACAATGGGGGGAATTTATCAAAACTGGAGCAGACAAAATCTGGAGCATGGCAACCAATCAGCTTTTCTATTCAGTTTGTTAAGATTTGGAAATGAAAGAGAGAAGCTGATTGGTTGCCATGCACAGCTACTCCAGATTTTGATAAATTCCCCTCTATATTTACATTTTTCTCCGTGGGACTTCACTGACAAGGTGCCCACACCTTGCTGCTTAAAGCAGCACTCTTGGCAAAACCTTTATTAACCTTTGCAGGGGGCTACCCCTCTACTGCAAGGGATGTAGCCCCCTGCAAAGACAGGCTTTAGTGACCAGAGAAGCACGAAGCTGTCTCAGCAGTTTAGGTGTGTATAACTTTTTTTTAGTACCCAGACAAAAGGAGCACCCTTGCAGTGTAGGGGTAACCCCACTGGAAGGGTTAATAATAGTTTTGCCTGGAGTTCTACTTTAACGACATGCCAACCTGTAAGGGCAGCAGGAGGAAACAACGTCACATTGCTAAAAGAGAGGAAGAGCTTGCCACTCATGTATCTCTTCCCCAAGAGATATAAGAAGTGACTCAGGTTAGGCAGCATCAACCAAAAATAGAAGTATCAAAAACGGCTAAAACATAAACATCTCAGAAAGAAGTACACACCTTGACACAGAACCAGATGGAGAGAGGGAAAGTGAGGATTAGCAGCAGGTGACAGCAGGAAATGAGGAGCACTTCACATACTCGGAGACCTGTAGGCTTTAAGACTGCAAAGACAAACATTTATATTAAAACAATTCACGCAATTTGCAGTGGTCCGAGAACCCATAAATGTTCTTAATGAGAAACTCAAGAAATATCTTACAGTGTGGATGCCAGGGATTCCCTGTGCCCCTGCCTCGCTTTCATTAGAAAGCTATACAGTACTTCTCAATGAGGTTTTCACCCTGGAAGGGAACAGGCAGATTCTGGTGCCTTACCTCCCGCCACATCCTTTTCTATTTTTTCATTTCCAATTAACCTTCTACACTTTATTGCCGTCCTGACTTCTTACAAAGCTTCCACGATGGACCGTGTCTCTGTTTTCACTCGCTAACTTTTCACTAGAGCTCCTCTCCTATATTTTGTTTGACAGCCAAATAAATAATTTTATAATCAGATGGATAGGTATGACCTCCCCCTCAATACACTCCCAAAACGTAGAATTGAAATTGGGAATCAAAAGATTTCTCTCATTCAGCCCACCAGGCTGAACAAGAAAAATCCTAATATGTATGTTATAGTCACATAGTTAGCCAGGTTGAAAAAAAAGACAGGTCCAAGTTCAACCTATAAAGATAAGAGAAAAACCTAAAACTAAAACAAAGAGTGCCCCTTGTCCTTTGCAGTGACCTTAAAGTGGATGATTTGCCACCAAGCTCACTATGTGGACCATTTATGTATTTATACAGTAATCACGTCCCCCCTTAATTTCTTCTCTAGAAATTAAGGTCAGTTAATCTTTTCCTCATAGCTGAGCTCCTCCATGTCTCTTATGAGTTTAGTTGCCCTTCTCTGTACTTTCTCCAGTTCCACAACATTCTTTTTGTGAACCGATGTCCAAAACTGAACTGCATATTCCAGATGAGGTCTTATGAATGCTTTGTACAGGGGTAGGATTATGTCTCCCTCTGAAGTCTGCTTAATGCATACATTGGTTATACTGCCAGTCAATTTTTTATGTCAATGTAGGATATATTAGGTAAGAGAGGCTCAATAGTAAACTAAACATGACATTGTAGTCTATCCTGGAGTGAGCTTGGAGCGGGGACTACTTTACAACACACACAGGGGCCATGGGGAACAAAAATAGCCCCCCTCCAGAAAGAGGAAGGATTTCCTTTATTTTTCCAATAAATAAGCATAAATTGGAAGTAATAAATATGCTAGGTGTGTTTGGGTGCCTACCTTCATCCTTCTGTCCACTTTCCAGAAGAGCCATAACTTCTGTCTCCTGATCTGAAGCCACCACATCATCCACGTCCACCACAGTGGAAACCTTAGTATCATTCTTGCTGGGCTCGCTAACCCTTCCAGATCTAGATCTTCCTGAGCTTTGACTGCCTTTCTTTTCTCTTTTGGAGCCCTGAGTAGAAGTGTCCCTCCGTTTCTGAGGAGGCTCTCGAGAAGAGCTGCGTGATCTCTTCTCAGTCATAGTTGTGATAAGCAGTGAGGGGGCAGACCAACCTACTTATATGATGTCAGCAGGTGGGAGATATCTAGGAGGACAGATACTAAAGACATGCGGTTAATTAAACTGTCTATTGCCGATTGCTTCTTGTCTTCACAAACAAAATTCTGTGAAATGTAGGTAATTATCTGTGGCAGTTTTGTTGGAGATATCACAATGATTGGAAAATCGCAATTAGAATTTACAATTTCCAAAATAAACTCTACTACTCCTACTGCATTTTCAAAACGATCAATTAATGCAAATACTCTTATTAATGTTTCATAAACTTTGAGTTTGTGCATATTTTGTATTTATAAATGTACTCTAGCATAAGCGTATCCCTTTGAGCACAGGAGGGATGAGGGGTGTAACCAAATGTCAGAGACATCATTATGGACTGCAAGCCTTTCAGGATTCAGTGTTTACACTTAAAAGTACCATTTTCATATACAGTGGTACCTCGGTTCACGAACTTAATTCGTTCCCCGATTCTGGTCGCGAACCGAATCAAACTGTGATCACACCGTGATCTCGACTAGAGGAAGCCACGACCATGTGTCAGAGCAGGCTGCGATTGTGTTCGTCACCCGAAGCGGAGTTCGCGAACGGAGGCAACATTTTGCCGAACTTCCTGTTCGCGACCCGAATTGTTGATGCCTCACTCGTGAGTTAAACTCTGCAGCTTTATGTGTCATTGAGGAAGCAATTCCTTTAGAAGTGGTTTACTTGCCTGGATAGCTCTGCCACTGGTAACACATCGCTAGTCTGGAATGGCCTTAATACCAGGAAGGGACAGGGCAAGGTCAGGTCACAGAGGGTAGAATATATTCAGTGTGTACCCTCTAGGAGATTTTAGGCTCCTTAGGCACACAGAAAAGTATTTACAGTATGAATTCTAAGTGTGAATACTCTTTGAATCACATTAGGTTTGCTATAGGCAGTTCATGGTGATGTGTCTGAAATGTTCTCACGCCTCCCAATTCCACATGCCTAAACTTTTTGCTAGTTTATTACATGGCACTTTGTACCAATAAAACATGCTAAACATTCAACTCACTTTTTCATACCATACATTTTAGATATAAACATTGCGATTAAATACAGACCAAGCAAAACAAAACAAATGGCAAAACGCACTCATCAATTTGTTACCAGCTTTACAGCAAGGTGCACATGGAAGGGCCTAATACAGTGCAGGCCCTTCCATGTGCACCTTGCTCTAAAGCTGGTAACAAATTGATGAGTGCGTTTGCCATTTGTTTTGCTTGACTGATTTGGTGCAGTGATGCATGGGGGGGTCTCAGCTGCCTTGTGATGTGCGGGATCCTCTGTGCCTTTAAGGGAGGTTGGGCTTCCTCCTGACAAACCTGCACCCAATTTGATCTTTTGCCATATGTGCTCCAAGATGGAGACTCTCATAGTTTAGAGTTAGGACTGCACTATTTAGAGGTGCCTTGACGCGGCTGTGCGGCTTTCACATTACTGCAGAAGACGTGTATCTAAACCTGTTTTTAACCTTAGCAGTGAAACAAGTTTTTTTGCATGCTGGCTTGTGAGTGTGCTGGGAAAACTTTTTGCTGTTTGTACTAGATACAGACTAAGACCCAGAAGTAATGTATTGGCACAGGAGTAAAACTGAACTGTAGAGGGAAGTAGGCTTAGGCAGTACCATATTTCTAATCTTGTAGGTGCTGCTTAGTACTTTTCACAGGCCAGGAGTTCCCCTAGTGTGCTAGATCACGGAATGCAGACTGTACTTGCTATAGTCTTCTTCTGCTGTAGTTGTGCCATAAACCTCATGTGGCACTTGCACCCATTGTTTGTGTGCATGGACACAACAATCACAGCAGAATCCTGTCACACTACAGAAATAACAGGGCAGCTAACCAGCTAAAAACCCTAACATACTGTATACCACCAATAACCTTCCCAGCTTGTTTTATTTCTGTGGCCCCCTTTCCAGAGAAAAAGATCACTGCATGCAACCTTGACTTGCAACTAGAATATCCTTTTTTTTTAATGAAGAACTCCAGGCAAATTAAATCTTAACGCTTGCAGTGGGGCTAACCTAGGGAGATAAAATAGCAAAGTTATACTCACCCGAACCACGATCCCAGCCGGCTCCTAGACCGGTCCTTCAGCCTCGCTCCCCCTCCGCTCCAGTGGTTTAAGGTCCTGTGAGTCATCAAGTCCAAACTTGACTTGCAACTAGAATATCCTTCTTTTTTTTAATGAAGAACTCCAGGCAAATTAAATCTTAACGCTTGCAGTGGGGCTAACCTAGGGAGATAAAATAGCAAAGTTATACTCACCCGAACCACGATCCCAGCCGGCTCCTAGACCGGTCCTTCAGCCTCGCTCCCCCTCCGCTCCAGTGGTTTAAGGTCCTGTGAGTCATCAAGTCCAATACACGTTATTTGAAGTGAGGACGCTGAGGGACTTTTCATCGCTGGAGTGGAAGGGGAGAGAAGCTGAAGGGCCTGGTTTAGGAGCCAGCTGGGATCTCGGTTTGGGGAAGTATATCTCTGTTATTTTATCTCCCTACAAAACAAGCATTTAACCCTTGCAGTGCGGGGGTAGCCCCACTGCAAGGGTTCAGATTTTATTTGCTCAGAGTTCTTTAATTTTCACAGGTAAATTTTATTAATTTCAATGTAAACAAATATACAGACATAACTGCACTAAACAAAATAATAAGAAGCAGAGGGTAAACATAAGCTGTTGTGCAATGAGTTAGAACAAAATGCGAATTGTACATTTATACAATTCCCACATCTGCTGGGTGCTGGGATAAATGAATTGCTGTGCGCATACTTAGGGGCTACATCACCCTGCACTGACACATCAAGATGACCAAAGGCCCGGAAACTGGAAGATGGTGTCAGCACCGGCGAGGGAGCTCATAGAAATAACAGGTGGAGTTTAGTTATGATTTATTTAACCCCTTCGTGACGGGAGACGTACACTGTACGTATTCTCAACAGAGTCTGAGGTTATGGTCAGTTGCGTCATGAACTGTGCTTGCAATGCATGACTGTTTGGAGCATGAACATCCAGTTGGGTAGGTCAAAACAGAATTTAGGTGCATCAAATGGTAGAAGAGTATCATCCGGCATTATGTGTTGTACAGTTTTGATAAAATATGTAGCCCATAGGTATGGATCAGACAGCATTCTGAAATGGTGTATGGGAAGAATTGGTTGGGTGTATGTATAATACATTTAGTAATACAGTTTACAATATACAGTTACATATAAAATTATACTCGCCATCATTTATGAGTCAATTATTGTGATGCATGGGCTCAGATACAAGTTTTTTTAAAATGAAAAATACTTTTCCCTTCTCCCAAGGCTATTGACACTTTTTGGAAATTGTACAGTTTACCAGAAGTAATATTTGTCTTATTTCAAACTTGCTTGGGCTTCCATATTACTCTTTAGTTTGGTGAGTAATCAGACATTTCCTATGCTCCTCGGCTCCATCTAGTGGCGGGAATGCCATGCGAGCAGCAGTCGCCAGGATATATGCTGGTCAGAACTTTATACATTAACCCCAACAGACTAGTATTCCTACTTGTGCATCTACAAATAAATTCCCTGCTTTTTGTTGAATAGAAATTGGAACGTTAGCGGAGATATTTACCATCTTCTGAAAACGTTTAGCTGAAAATTGGAAGAAATGTTATTTAAAAATGACTGGTAGTCTTTTGCACAATATTCACAATGACACTACTCAGATAAAAGAGACATACTGGACATTCAGCTCTCATATAAGCAGAGCTGAGAAAACCTAATATAAATCCTATAAGCATCTAGAATGATCATTGCACAGTGGTTTAGTGGTTAGCACTGCTGTCTTTAGTGGGTAGCACTGAGGTCCTCAGTTTGATTCCTGGCCAAGGCACTGCCTGCATGGAATTTGTATGATCTCCAAGCTTGGGTTTCCTCCCACATTCCAAAGTCATGCTGGTAGGTTAATTGGCCCGATTCCATGTGTATGTACCCATGTGGGATATGGACCTTAGACTGTAAGCTCCTTGAGGGCAGGAACTGATGTGAAGGAATAGTATGTAAAGTGCTGAGTATATTGTCAATGCTATCAAATGCCTGTAATAAATAATTCAAACATGGTTTCAAAGTAATAAAAAAAAAGAGTCACTCACGGTTAAGATTTATGTGACACAACTCCCATTGGCTACACATCAGTGGTTGATAAATGCCTGCATGTCACTAAGAATACAATATACAATTCCACAACCTTACAATACTATAATGTTACAATGAATCTGACACAGATGAGCACAATGTGAACAGCACAATGTGTTGCTGATTTTGCAGTTTTCTCATACGTATTAGTACAAGTGTAATTGCTCGGTGTGGGCAGAGCACAGCGGAGGAGTGTTCTGTAATACATTCCTGTGAAATGAGATTACTGACCTGGTCATAACCTTTGGTTGGGAAGAAAAATGGTTTAAAATCAAATCTAAAGAAGGAGCTAAAAGTAAACATTGAGAGGTGCCTGTAAATACTTTGTATGCTAAGAGCTCTTAACCCCCCCCCACACACACCTATTTATTATTCAGAGATGATCAGAGAAACACAGGAAAGCTGGCACAGCTAGAGGCTGCTATAAGCTGCCCACACACCATACAATTTATCTGCAGATTTTCTGTGGTCAGATGGAAAAGGTGCAACAGATTCCTCCATCTACACTTAACTGTGTGGATGGAGTAATCTCCACCTGGGCCAATCTGTTGCACTTTTTCCATCTGACCACAGAAAATCTGCAGATAAATTGTAAGGTGTGTGGGCACCTATAGCATACAGAGTATCCAAAATCTAGGGCTTCCGGGGTGTTCTCAATCAGTGGCGTAACAATCACCATAGCGACCCAGGCGGCCGCTATGGGGCCCGGGGCACAGTGGGGCCCGGCCAGATGCCGTGCGGGCCGCCTGGGTCGCTATGGGATCCTCTGCTGGTGGC